TCCGGATGAAAACAATACCATTCAATTGGCATTCCAAAGCTCAATTCGAGTCTGCAGCTATTTTTGTTTAATTCACAAACTGATCTCAGTGGAACGCATTGAGAGAAAGAAGCTAACGTAAAAGCAGAAAGTTTGCCATTACTTGGCTTTCACTCGTATGAATCGGCTTAATGGATTTTCTTCCTGTGTACTTGTAGGCTTACAAGCTCATACAAGTGCAAGTACAAGCGTGTCTGTGTGTGTGTGTGTCTGTGTGTGTGTGGAAATGTGTGCTGGCAATCCCAAAGCCAATTTACCATTGGGTGTGAGTGCGTTCGCGGTCGTTGTGAGTTGTCAGTAGTACATAGTTGTTGTTGTTGTTACGCATAGTATGTAAATCAATAAATAAATTGCCGCATGCAAAATTCATGAGACAATTCTGAATAAAACAGCCAACGGTGGCTGTTTCAGTAACAACACCAACAACACCAACAACAACAGCAGCAGCAGCAATCGCTACTGTTGCTGCAACAACAGCAACGGCGACAGCTCCAATAGTCAGAGCTATCGATAGCCAAGCCAACAACAACACCACAATAACAACAACAACAACAAAACACCAGTTACCGCAACAGCAGCAGCAAATTATTGAAATTTTGAACGCAATTGAACTTTGAGCATAAATTTAGTTAAATATTGAACGAAAAAAAATCATACACACACACACAGACACAGACACATTCTCACCTACAATGAACATGGCGGCAGCAACAGCAACAACAACAACAGCAACAACAACAGCAGCAACAACAAATTATATTTGAACATCCGCAACAAACAAAATAAAAAATAAGTCGAGTTGAAATGCATTGGAATTGAATTAAATGTGACAGCTTAATTGAAAAATAATTTCGATTGGCCCAGTTGTGAACTTTGAACTCAATACTTATGCAAGAATATGAAGCGTCAATAACAAACACACTTAGTCATGCCATACGGCAATAATTCAAACAAATTATGAGCGCATTCGTATTGCCCATAAATTAAAATGCATTGGCCCGCTTGTTAAATGTTCAACTTGAAGATAAACACAATGCGATTACTGCAGCCAGATTCATAAATCCAAACAATAATGCATCGCTAATTGAGAACGATGAATGGCTATAAACAAATTTAAATTCCACAACAAACACACAACATGTTTTCCCAATACTCTGGTTTATGCCAGCCAGCGAGTCAGCAGAGCAAGCAAATTTGAAAACAAGAATTGAAAGCGTTTGTTTTAAAAATAAAAAAACTTAAAGTCTGGCAGCACAGAAGAAACCACGCTTAACGCTTTCGTGTGCACTCGATATCGTGATTTTACGTTTCTACGGCCATTCCTTGATTAAACGATTTCCATGCTTGGAATAGTTCGAGTGCTGGAAACGCTTATATCAATGGTGTAGGCTATTCAGACCTGAGTTTAAACTCGAAATGAAATTAGGCATGTAGGGAATGGCGAATGGAACAAATTTTCATAAAAAACGAGGCTCATAGTATTAGGGAGAAAATCAACAGAGATGTTTTAATTCAAATATGTTTATAAATCAAAATAACCTGTCATTGTATTTTACTTAATGTTATTAATCGTAATCTTGACTTTAAATGAACTTGTATAATTTACTTAAAAATAAACGTGTTAAGTAATGTTTTAAAAACAAATCAATTCGCCGCTTTGCCGTTACTTATTTTAAGAATATTAAGTCGGCTATACGCATACTTCTTAAATTATTATATACATATCATAATGAAGATTAAATGTGTAACAATCTAAAATATATGTAATTAAAATTCACATTTTAGATGCCTTTATCTAAAAAATCCAAATACAAATATACCCTCTTCGGTAGACCACACCGCCCAACAAAACATGAAAAATATTCGATATTTTAACAAAGATCGATGGATCGACGATGCATCGCACGCAAAAAATATCGGACAGCATCGATGCATTGTGTTTAAAACAGCGTCGATGCTCGATACATCGATATGTTTTTCACAATATGAAGTCGACCGAATATTTAATATTATGGCGCACTATTTCGCCGTAAAATTTAACTAAGTTGGATTTGTTGAAATTTGTATATTAATCATATGGCTAAGTTATTATTTTAACGCATCGTGCATTATTTAATCAAAATTGAAATTTTATTGAACCCCCTTTGGAAAAAGCTGCCTAAACCCTTGATACCTATATATCTGTTATTTAAATGCGAACAAAATGTATAAATTTGACAAATTAAGTGAACTATAATTTATGTCTTTTAAAAAAAGGACTACATATTAATGCAACTATCTAGGAAGAAGGGCTAGCAAGAAAAACCATTGTCTTGGTAGGCCAAAGCAGATAAACTTGCTCTGAGATACTACCAATTTTCAGATAGTTATAAATTAAGTGAAATCTCTCACTTATAAGTAGTTCTTAAATACTGCATTTGGATTGGGCTTTTAAATAAGACCAGTTTCTTTAAACGAAAAGCTAATGCATTACCTGACCATTGCCGGAACATTCTGGTTAATAAAACACTTTATAAAGTCGCAAATATAGTCACATGTGTGTGTGTGTGTGTGTGTATAAAAATTCTTGGTTAAAATAGCAGACAATGCCGTGTCATAATCTTCTCTAGCCAGCCAAGAAACAGTCGCAACGATCCATTGTCTCTTGTCTTGTCACATGAATTGTGAACCAAAAGTAATAGCAACAATTCGAGTATATGGCTAAATTATCAGCGCTGTCGCGACAACGTTTCGTTGTCATGGATCACCACAACTTCCGGGTGCGTTGCCAAGCGACGCGCAAAGCCGGCGCTACAGCCACCACCGACACCACCGACACCACCCAAGATACCCGAGGCACCCAAACGAACCACCTCTTTGCATTCATATGCGTGTAGCTCTGACTAGTGGCGAAGGGGGAGTGTGGGAAGGGGGAAGGGGGAATGGGGGAGGGGGCAGCTGTATAAAATGGAAGTGAATTCAGATCAGAATTTCAGCTGATAGCCATGTGAGTGGCGTGTTTGGCATTAACTACCAGGCAGGGCAAAAGCAAAAGCACACAGCCCTGGTGGTTGTGTGGTTGTTTAACCCGTTAACGGCAATTTCGTCAACTCAGCGAGCTGCATTTAAATTCATTGTGTGTTTTATTTTGTATGCGTTTCTGTTTCTGTTTCGTTTCGTTTTTTGTTGTCTTGTTGTCTTTTAAATTAAAATTATGTCAACGCAATTGAAATGTTATTGAACCAATTCAACGCCATGTGACTGCAAAGGTAAAAACAAAACAACGCAACAACAACAACAACAAAAACCCATATTAAGTAAGCCGATGTGTGGGGGGGTGGGGGAGGTGCCAAAGGGGTAGTGTATCCGACGAGTTCATTAATTTTGATTTTGTAACTTTTTATCCAATCCGCTGCAGCAACAACAACTGCTGCAGCAACAATGAATGTCAACTTTTCGGCCATAATTTATGGCATTTGTGATAAAGAAGCAGCCGCGCCGTGAAAAACATTGGTAAAATGCATTTTCAGCAGCAGCAACAACAACAACAACAAAAACAACAGCAGCAAAAGCAAAAGCAACAACATCAATGTAAACGTAAACAGTTGTGTTTAATCAACTAAAACAGCAGCGCGAAAAAATCAAAATGAAATAAAATAAAAAGCCAAATGCATTCCCCACATTTCGCTTTCCCCCCAAACAACAACAACAACAACAGCAACAACAACGCTGCAATTTTTATGCAATTTATGGCCCACAAAATTATCAGCGCACTTCACATTGACGCCTGTCCGATTGTCGGACTGTCCAGCTATCCGTATTTAACAATAAAAAATTTAAATAAAATAAATGTGAAATGCAAAAACAAACATCACACGTCCAGAAAAAAGTCCACTATAATTATGATTACAAAGCTATATCGCACTGGTTTCGTAACTGGGTAGGAAACTTTTAAGTTAGTTGGCAAATCATATAGATGGTTGGCTGTCTGTGCTAGTGACGAATATCAAGAAACCTATTCGAATATGTAGAAACAAACGCTAAGATATCATTCTGTAATAATATATGCTCGATAATTCCTATTAACCCAAACACTTCTAAGTGCTTTCAATATTTTCAAAGGGCTACAGAAACAATAAACATTTGAGGCTAGTTATATAACATCGTTAGAGACCAAACAGCATTATAAACTATTTTTTTTTTTTTGTAAGAAGTGCGTCTGTGTTCTGCTCTAAACGATTTGCAATAGAAAATATATAATTCTGGATATTACAAGAGAACAAGATTATTATTTTTTCATTTTCTCACCACATTCAGTAAAAAATAGAAGTAGTTCCAATGGAAAAATCCCCAAAATAGGTATGTTTTTCATAGTTGCAAATAAATAATAATTAACCGGTTTCTTTTATTTAGTTATTTAGCCCCTACGGGAAAGTCTAAGCCTCTGAAGTAAGTAACAGGCAGGAGAAGGTGTGGCAAGCCTCTAGTTACGGGCACATAGTATATAATTAGCATGACATCAAGACCGAGAACTTTTGAACAATAAAAGCTAGAGACCCATAGCTGAATACCATATGCCTTATTGATGCGCAGAGCAAGTTTATTTCTAGCCTCATTATTTGTTATAGCTACCATATACCATCAATTCTAGTACCAACTACTTTATTGTTTATGAAGATGGTTGCCGCAATTTCGGTTTCCACATCGAAATCGATCAGCTGAATTATATAGCTATTTTAGTTTTTGGCAATTCCAATCAATTATTGTCTATATAGTCTCACAAATGTCTGTAATTTTGAAGAACTGGTGCCGCTTGAGAGGAAAGTTCGTCCAATGAATATATTAATCTACTATTTTGCAAAAAGAAAAATTTTCAAAATATACATACATAAGTAAAACGAGTTTAAGAGAAAATGAAAAAAGGAATGGTACCTAGTTTCCTTAAATCTTAAATTAACTTCTCACATAACTTGTAGACTCACCTCAAGGCAATTGGCGTCGTAAATACAATACCGCTCGAATGCAGCAGATATGTTTCCCTCCGACAATATATGTAGACAAGTAGTATTCTCCTCCTCTGGCTCTCCCGAACATGTGCGTGTTTTTAGGCAACGGGATTACTGGAACAAAAAGCAAAACAGATTACCAAAAAAAATCCAAATCCATTTGTTGTTCCAATTAAATTAGAAACTCTTTGTTGAAACGCAAATGTTTTCATTATTTTTTTAAACTGATAAAAGACTTAGTTGGAGGAACTGTCCCAGAGAGGAAATAGGCGGCCAGTCTCTGCCGGCGTTTCCGAATACTCTGCGCGTTAATCACGCGACATTGAGTATATTTCCATTTCATTTACAAAATTTCGTTTATCACGCGTTGACAGCAATTAGACGATTGTAAGGTCCATGTGTATGTACGATTATATGCTATATACTTGTATATGTATGTATTTCTATACTTGTATGTATTTGCGTAATAATTAAGAAGTATTCAACATTTAAACATTAATGCGTAAAAATAAATACTTTGGAAATCTTGCAAAGTTGTTTCGAAACTGCTGTCTGAGAACTTTCCATGTGCTCTGTATATATTGATTTGATCTCACAACTAAAATATATCAAATAATATAGGACAATAGGTTATTTATAATATGAAATGTAAATAAGACTAAGTGGTATTTTTTACAAGCTATAAGTTTAATTTAAGCGTAAATCAATCAATCGCTTTTTATGTGATTTGTAACCAATATCGACATTATTGAAAAATGAATAGACGAACAAGACTAAAAATGGGCGACCGAGTTACGTTACCATTCCAGAATAATACCTATTGTTTTATATTGGAATACCTAATTCCCATTGCGCTTTTGAACTTGAATTCGAGCTGACCCTTCTAAGCAACAACCTATTGTGTTTGGGTTGTCAGTTGGGCAGAGATAATAAATGAATTGTTAACACAACACATGCGTCAGATGAAAGTTTTTTTTTTTTTTATTTAAAAAAAAGTCTTTATCCAACACTAACAAGTGGCCATCCTATGAATAATTTAATACTGACAGTGATGCTTTAGTTTTAGCAGCCAGTGGTTGGTTTGTATATTCCGTATATTTTGCTTTCGCCGGTTTGCCAACTCCGATCAGACGGAAGTGTTTCAATGTAACAAATCCAGTTATTTGTTGAATTTGACAGTTTAATTCTACGCATCGTTGAACGTTTGCCTCAATTCGCATGCCGACACAAACAAACCGCCCCACGCACTCCAATCCCCCCTCCAGAGAGCTGGCATTAGGGCAGCCACCCATTAACCCTCTTTGAAAGCAACCAAAACAATCCGATGTTGATGCTGCTGTCGATATACTATATATACAGACAGATATACACATATAGATGGCATTGTCGGTATCGGTGTTGGTCTCAGTGTTGGTGTCGGTGTCGGTGTCGGTGTCGATGCGAACGAAGCTCACGCAATGCTTTTTGTCAATTCCAATATAGAAGCCCATCCATCTATATATCCGTATATATCAATTGTCTGAATGTATGGTCGATGCGGGAATGTAGTTATGTACTGAGAGTATGTGTGAGAGTGCCGGAATCTTTGTGGGGCTAGCTTAAAAATACCTTTTCTTTCTGTTGATTTGAAAATCAAGCAAGTTTGACACTTAACTTGACATTCAATTTCCAAGCTGGCAGCAATTTTCGTTAGTTTTTTTGCCTGATTGCATCGAGAAGGCCCAAAAATGTGCAGTAGTAGTAGAGTAGACAACAGGGCGTGCAAAAAAAAAAAAAAATTACGTTTTCGTTTATTTTGTTTATCATTTTTTCAAACTCAATCAACATTCTGAATTCAGAAAACGAAAAACATTTCAAATAACAAGCATGACTCGACTTGACTTTATCATCTCAAGTACGAAGAAAAAACAATGCTTCAATGCACACGATAGATAAAACGACACTGACACCGACACACACACACACACATACTCGTGCATACCTGCATAAATATAAATATTGTATAAGATATAATTAAATTGTTCAAATGGCAAAAGCAACAAAGCAGCAAGAACAATCTTTTGGCTGGCCTGTAAAAAGCACTCTTTATGCCAGCTTCGTAATCGCATCAAACTCATAAATTTGCAATCATCTTGAACTGCTAGTGTTTAATTTAATTACGTTTTATAAAGCTGTAGTTCTTGAAACAGGCTTCAGAAACTCTAACCCACAAGTAAATTAATAATCGCTGCACTTCTCCATCTGGCTATGGTTTTATATTCAGTTTCTTGCAAGATAAACTAACAAGTGGATATGAAAAAAACATTTAAAGTTTTGCTTAAATTTGCAATCATCTTGAACTGCTAGTGTTTAATTTAATTTCGTTTTAAACTTGCAGAAACTTAAGCTAATATTTCTCCCCATAAAAAAATACTATCTAGTTGTTAGATATTATTTTAATTTGATTAGATTTCTCCTGCTTAGGCTTATTTATACCTTTTATATTGTTTCCCTATATCAACAGTCATTGTTTGTTGTCATAAAGATATAATAAATAAATTAATAAATATCGCATTGTTAGGGCAGGTTATGATCTTTAATGCTAAAGATTTATTTATTTTATAATGCACAAAATTAAAATGAATAATAGTCTTTAAAGAGCCACAAGTTGGTTGTACTCCTCCCTTTAACCTAAGTTTAAGAATTGACCCATACATACAAGAAAATAAATCCCATATCAAACTAGATGTTATGCACTATCAAATGGACCCAATATTTTCATTTAACTCCTATATTAATGAAGGAACTTACAGACCTTCAAAGGCGAGAATATATGTACATATATCTGTATATCGGATATATAGTATTAGTATTAGAATTAGATGTATAGTATTAGTTGAGTGTTCATCCGTTTGTGTTTGGAATTAATGTTGAATGAATTAAATTCTCACTCTATAAACTAATTTGGTTAGATGTCCAGTCCCACTTAACTGTTGATATCGTTCAAAGGGAGAAGTCTAAAAATACTGTTGTCCATTTCTCCTGTGGCTCTAAAGACTTGATCGTTCCTATAGAAAAACAGAAACAGAAACAGAAACAGCGACGCTCACAAAACAATAAAAGCTTAATTTTAATTTACATTAACGAGCTGCACGAAATTTCTATGACGCCTTCAAGCAGACACTAGATTTTCAAGTTGCTACTAAATAGTTGTTGTTGTTATTATTGTTGTTGGATTGATGTTAGCATTTGCGACCCATTGCAGTCGACAGTGAAAACTTGTCGGCGGACGAGCCGCAACACAAACAACAACAACAACAGCCGAAAGCGCAATTAAAAAAACCGCAACGCAAACCAAGAAAGATAATAAAAAGAAGAAAAAAATTAAGCGAAACAAGTAGGGAAACAAAAAAAAAACACAAATTAAAGAATTCAAAATGCCGCCAAGTGCCAAAACACGTTTAAATGTCAAAATGTAACTGTCCGGACAGCAGTGGCCAACAACAACAACAGCAACAACAACAACAACAACAGCAACAACAACAACAAATGCACTGTCGCTGAAGTCCGTCGCCACAAAAGCAACAAAAAATCATCAAATTCGCGTCTTAGCCGGCGCCAACGTCAGCTCAGACAAACAGAGAGACACAGACACAGACAGAGGCAGCGACAGAGGCAGCGACAGAGGCAGAGCGGGCGCAACTCTGCTCCCCTCCCCTTGCCCCTCTCCCACCCTTCTCTCCCAGACGACAACTTCCCCATCTGATATTGTTGCAATCAAAGCTGCCGTTCGTCCGCTTTGTTATTAATTATTGCGCTTCGTTTTTCTTTTTTTCTGCCTTTTGTCTTTTGTGTAAACTTTTTATGGCCGTTTATAATTTGCGCTTAATGCAAAAACAAAATTTAAAAATTAAAAAACGCACACTTTTATTTGTTTTCTTCGGCAATAAAACGGCGACGCGACAATACGAGTTACAGCCAAGTACAAACACACACTCGCACATACTATAATATACTATATACTTGTACATAGTACTTGTATGTGCATACTATAACAATCATTATAAGACCGTTAAAATTTATGAACAATGACTACATGGCTGGCAAGGGCTTGTGGGAGTGCGGGGAAGTCGGCGGGAATTGGGGAATTGATGATGCGCTTTTCATAGAATACGGAGGAGAACTTGATTACAAAAATGCAACAGCTAGTAATTGAACACAGATAGGTAGTATAGATTGGTATAAAAATAGAAAGATCACCAGATAGATGGGTGTTATTCAAAACAAGCTGGCAGGCTCATTACAGCCTCAATTCTCTAGAATACAAGTAGAACAGAAGGTAACAATCTGCAACAATTACTGTTCATTACTTCATAATTATATAATAGTTACTTTTATTTTTCAAGCCAATTGTCAGATACATTATTTAATGCTGCCAGAAGGTTGAGCACACGTATTAAGTCCATGCTGATGACCTTTCTTTTATATTTTTATAGAGAAAACTAATAATAGATTTCAAAATAAAGTTTCGAAAAAAAAAACGCACTTCCTTTTAAAAGCATTTATCGAACAAATGCTAAAATATTTGGAATTCAACACACTTAAGCGCCCTTTCTTACATACTCGTATTAAAAAAGATTAAACAATCCCTAATTAAACAAATCTACTGATATAGTATAACTAGTTGGCCTTTGGCTTCTAAACATTTTAGACATTGTTTGACAGCTCTCGTATTCGGTTGAAGATTCAATTCTAAACATATGTAACTCCAATTCTTAATATGCTTGTAGTTGAAATTAATACATAATTATTATTTGAAACTGATAGATAGAAACATATTTTCCGCATTTTAGTTAATTGCTTAGCTTTTGGAGCTGCTTTTAATCATCGTTCCGACACTGCCAAATGGTTAATGGCACTATCGATTGCAAAATTTGAGAGAAACCTGACTCCAAGCGACTCATTTCAAATACTTAATCAATCATAAATCATATACAAAATACATTGCGCCGACCAATATGCGATTAGAGTTCATAATACGAGTTATTAGCACTAAAAAAAACAGATACAGAGAGAGAGAGAGAGAGATGAAGATCGATGTATTCATTCATTTGGCTTCCAACAGTGCAACAGCA